GGAGAATTAGATAATTTAAATATGTATCGCAATACGGATGTCAGATAAACAAGGTTAAAAAAGGGTTTTATTTGAAATTATTTTAAACAGCGTTGCCACCTGTTTACAAAGTTAAATTTAATATATGCAATAGGTTACGAATTACTACGATATGGATATTAATTAAAATGGCCTTGAAGGAACTTTGTTTCAAATTTGCTTGTACGAGCGTTGCCACCCGTTTACAAAATCAAGATTAAACTTAAATTAAGGCGATTCGAAAATTGAAATATGTATACCGATATGAGCGTCAGATGAAAGAGATTGTGGAGATTTAAAAGTGAGTTGCCAGCTCTTTACAAAGTTAAATTCAAAGTAATTAATTACTTAAATATGGACATCAATCGAAACTGCTTTGAAGATATTTTATGACAAGAGGGTTGCCACCTGTTGTAAATTTTATCTTGAATTAAGGGAATCAGATGATGAAAATATGCATCACAACACAGCTGTCAGACGTTTTAGTTTGAAAATACTTTGAAGTAGGTCACCACCTGTTTACACATGTAGCAGAGTTGCCACCCGTCTTAAAATTTAAATGCAACTTGAATTTAGGGAATTAGATAATTTAAATATACAAGATAGCAGTTGAAAAATATTTTTTGTTGAAAATATTTTAAATATTTAATATTTTGCCATCTTTAAAAAGCTGAATTTATTTAAATTATACAGAAGTTACTGTATGAAATATTAAATAATGGGTGTCAAACGAAGGAGTATTAGGAAATATTTAGCTTAAATATTAATAGCCTTATTCATCAAAAATAAAGTAGCTTTACAAAAGGTTTATAAATTGAAAAACGTATGAAAACGTCAATTTATAAAGCTTTATAAATCTACTTTATTTTTTATGAATAAGGCCATAAGAATATTAAAAACGGCTGCCACTAATTTAAAAGATGGGTAGCACTTGAAATGGGTTTAAAATTGAATAGAATAAAATCAAAACTAATGTATAGTTTTTAACCTGAATATGCTCTTTTTATTTATTATCACGTATTCTACGTTTTAGTTTAGCGGCTAGGACTCCGACACAGGCCACAGGTCAGAAGACGAAGGCGCTGGACTGAGCCCTTTTATTTTACTTTTCTAATTACCATTAAATTAATGTCCAACATGCTCAAATTGCTGCCAATAACTGCACTTTGCTAATTGGAAACCAGCTGCTATGCAGGCTACATGACGTATGAGTAATGTGTCAGATGTGCATATGCCGCATAATTTACAAATGTTACGTATACGCAATGTGGCAAGTGTCGAGTGGACATCAAAAGTGACATTCATTTGAGTACTGTGTACATTGGATTAAATTGGACAGCCATGAAATAAACTTGCAGGGTGTTTTTTTTTTTTGAAACATAAGGAAGGCAAAGGTAAACGGAGAAGGCTGCCGGTAAGTATGTTAATGAAAGCCGAGAGGTGAGGAGATTTCTAAATACTAACATATACATACATACATACATATGCATGCATGTGTACACCTTTTTGGTGCGTGCTGGTGGAAAAATATAGCTAAAACCTAATTTATGTACCACTTTTTGAACACAGTGACTAAGCAACAGCTAAAAGCGACTTATCTTAGCAAATCTTGAACTTAATCTATGGTTCATCTCAGTATGTGGATGGATAACAACAGAGCCTCAAAAGAAATGAAATATTCATGAAAATCACTAGCATTAAAATCATTTATTAATGTCTAGCAGAGTGACTACTTACACCAAAAAAAAAAAAACTAAGAAAATCAAACATTTACATTTACACGCATATATTTACTATGTACAAACTTATTTCAAATGTATTCAATGTGAATAATGGAATATTAAAATCAGACCTGCAGATAAATAAAAAATGCGCATACAAATATGTACTTGCCACACCACTCGATGTAGCAACGCAAGCTTCTTCAAGAGTCTCTTACGGCTAAGCACCTTTTCTCATGGCACTTCAAAAATCCAAGTAAATATTTTGTGAGTATTGCGTTTGAATTAAACAAGGAACGTTGAGTATGCTTGAGTGAAGTTTCTTTACGTATTATCTATCCTGCGGGTCACAAAACTTCAAGCAGCTGAGCGAAAAGCGCAGGTAAGAGGTAAAAAGGCATGGCAGGAGCTATGTTAAATAGAAGCAACTAAAATAAACGAAAAGTGAAGACTATAGCTTCGACACACAAAACTTATACATACATACGTACATAGCTCACAGGTATTGAAACTAAATAAAGCCACAAAGTTAATCATAATTGAAAGGTTTCGTAAGACAAAAGTCTTAATCAAAATATAATGATAAAATCATTTTTTCGGCAGTTTATGTTGAAGCAGAAATTTTGCACCGCTTCAAGCAAGATGTGAAGGCTAACATAGAATAAGAAGTATACGAGTTTATGGGTAAATCTAAAAAAACAGATAACCTTTGTGTTATTTAGCTTTATTTTTATTGTTGTAAACTGTATCAAGCTGGTTGCTTTTGGATATAATTCATAGACTTCTACTTGAAGCCTCAAAAAAATGTTGAATCAATTTGTTGCATGACTTATGAGTTATAGATGTTTTAGTTCAAAAAAATATTAAAAACAAGTAAATTTTTTAAGTAATTTTAAAGAGGTGAAAAATTAATTATGTCATGACTTTTGAAGCACACCATAACTAAAGTGTGCTTTAAAAAATAACTACTTGCCTCAAAGTGTGTAACTCTACTTTTTAAAATTTTCAAAATTTTTGAATTCTACAAACAATTATGAATAATTTGATACCTTAGCAAGAGGTGTATTAAAAAAAAAAAAAAAAAACAAATTTTAAAGATAAAATATTCTGCGATCTTGAAGACACATTTGGAGAGTACAAATACCTGTAAAATGCTTTAAAAAAAATTTACTGTTTTATTTACTACTTTTATCCTTCTTGTCGTGAGAACATCTCGAGCGATGGATCAAATTGACTTTTTTTTAGGCAAAGGTTCTGAAAGTTGCTCCTACTTAACGGAAGCCTTCTGAATTCAATGGCATCTCAAGTTTTTTCAGGTAGGCTCTAATTTTCGAGATAACCGTACTTGAAACTTCGCTTTAAATTTGCTTTTATTTTATAAATAACTCCCTCAGCTTTGAAGTTATTTTACTAAAATTTTGCACATGCGCGATTTTTAATATTACTGCACAGCGTAATTTGAACCCAAATTATTCTTTCGTTTTCTATTTCAGCGACCTAAATGTTTATGCCTCGTCTAACTTTTAACGAGCTTGATGAAAATGAATTACACTTATGTTTATTGATTTGTTAAGAGATTACGTATAGAATCATATATAAAAAGTAGGTGTGTCCACAAATTAAAAAATTAAACTTTTAATTTAATTAATTTTTTTTGAAAGTGTACCTGTTTTTTAGATTTGCCCATATACATACCTACATTTTTACGTACGCACATTAGTAGTAACATACTACTTGCTTCCTATTGCCCATTATATGCCTTTTGTGTGTTTTTTTTTTTTTGGTTTTTGGTTTCATGCTTCACGGCACCTCTCGCACTTAAATACTTTGCTGGGAGATATGCAATAAATGAATTTAATAAAATCACAGCACATTTGTTGTTTTTACATTCACTCGGCTTTTAGAGTGAAAACTCAATTGAATTTGAATTAAATTGAAAGTACTTACATACATAGTTAAGTATAGAAAGTTTTTATCTGTATGTAGGAAGTAAGAAATTTTTATTGCTGCCATTGCCTAATAGGAGTCAAAGAAGATTTGAAAGAAGGTATGAGAGAAAGGTAGGCGGAGGATTGGGTTAAGATTAAGGCACCTGAGCTAGTCAGTTAGGCAGAAGGTTAAAGCGTTTTTTTTTCTGGTAAAGAGCAGCTCATAGCAGAGTAATTGTTATTTGAAAACAAACTTTTTAAATGAGTTGTGGTGCTCCGTAAGAACTTTTAGATTAAATTTTGTCCTTTTGCTGGTTAGCTTTGGTTTTCATTGAGTGATTTTCTGTATTCTAATAAAGCTGGAAATGGACGTTAAAAAAATGTAGCTGCTTTACCAAAGCGCGTGGCAATTGAATTGGTTCTAAGAAATGGCTACGCTATCGGCATCTGAACTAACGGATTCTGGTAGAGGAAATCAGTTTTAGGGGTGTGGGTGAAAGTTTCTCCTTTTTTGCACATTCTTTTGGGGAATCGGCGTAGGAAACTATGCGATCTTTTCAATTTAGACGTACGATGTGTTCAGAAGTTTTATGCAAAATACAGCGAAGAACATTTCAATTGAAACACGAGAAAACACCTTGTAGTCATTTAATAATTTATTGAAATTTTATTACAAAATTGAAATTTTATTGAAAAGCTATTTCGAGAGAAAGCACTTGTATATCATTTAGCTCGCTACAAAGCGCAGTTTAAGTCTCGGGTAGCGGAAATTTTCTTTTTGTTCTTATTCTTAATGTACATTTCCTTCTTCTTGAATTTTTTTTTTGTATTGATAATTCATATTTATTGCTTTAAAATGAACTTATTTTTTTCTTCCTATAATATTTTTTTCCCCTACTTATAAATTTCTTGGTTTAAAAAAG